TATATATATATATATATTAATTTAAATATCATTAATTACAATTGGTAATCAATTAATTAAAAGAAATATTTTTTAAATGTTGATACCATACAAGGAAAAATATAATTCAATTATAAGTTTAATATCAAGCAAAAAATGTGATTAGGAGAGATTCTATTAAATGTGCTTAACCAAGTTCTTTAATGAAGTTTAGTTATGAACAAAGTTGGTGACTTCGTACTAATAATATAATATGAATATCCAAAAAAGTATCATAAGAGAAAAAATAGAATTCAATTATTTGTATGTGGTTATCAAAGAAATAGAAGTTATTGATATAGAGAATTTGACATTTTTTTTATTTGCTAAGGTAGTATAACTTATTTTCATTGGATCGATTCCTATAAGAATAAAGTTGTAACACCTGTTTTTTAAGAAATAATAATATTATTAATATTATATTTTTATTATATTTTTGGCATTAAAAATATTTGGTTATTATTATTATTAAAGGAAAAATATTTTTTATTCTTATTATTTTATTAAATTATTTTAAGAAAAAAGAGAAGCGGGTCGGGAAGTATAATGAGTTGGGTTGACCCGGCCCGAGAGAATGTAAAGAAAGGGGTTATCAGGTTAACCTTCATGAGTCTCATTTGGCATTTTTTAAAGGAGTATGAGAAAGAGAAAGGAAAAGAAAGAACTCTGAGAGGAGGAGTCCTCAAGAAGAGATCAAGAACAACTTTCACTACACCAGGAGTATTCTGATTAACGCAACTAGGTACAGGAGAAAATGAGATCTTTATATTCAGAGTCGAATGAGGGAATGGGTAAAAGGAGAGCTCCCTGGGATTTTTTAGTAATTCTATATTGTTTCTATTTGGACGTTTAATGGTTTTAATATTTTCTGGATGAAATTATATTGTATTTCTGGTAAAAATTATTAGAATTGAGGTTCTAGGAGAGAGATCGAATTATTGAAATGTATCCATGTGTTAGGGTTCTTTAGGGATTGGGGATTTGCCAATTAATGCATGCTCTGCTGAAATTGATGATGTGTGTTGAGTTTTCATGTGAAAATAAGTGTTTTGACTAATTGTATTTCTAAAATAATGTATTATGTGTTTCGTTTGGATTAATTTGGGTATTTCTGGTTGTCCCATAATTCTAGAAATCATGTTGGCACCGGGCTTAATTCGTTGCGTTGGGCACACATTCATGGGATGAATGTGGAATTGAAGATATTTATGTTGGTTAAAAATATAATTCTGCCAGACGTGAAATTACAGAATGGCTACTCGTCGGGTGAAATTATAATTTTGCCAGGCGTAGTGCTTTAAGGGGGTCTCGACTAGGCCTTAGCGTTGGGCGAGATGTCTGGGCATCAGGTGTGAGTTTCTGGAATAGTTATCATCGGGCAAAATTAGTATTTAAATCAACTGTGAATTGCAAGATATGTGTATGACCTATTGGTTTATGTGGAAATGTGTTGGTTGTGTACGTGATATTGAGTTGGATTGTGAAATGTGGTGTGAAGCTTTGGCATAGTCATATACGTGACACAGTGTTGGACGTGAGATGCGTCAGCATGGGCGTGTGCATGATACGCTACTAGTTATGTGATTGCTTTGGGCACGGTCGTATGTGTGACACAGTACTGGATGTGTGATGCATCAGTATGGTCATGTGCGTGATACGGTGCTAATAGTGAAACTATGTAATTTTCTCTGTGTTTTTCATTCAATGAAATATTTATTTAGTTAATCCTTTTATTCTTATACTTAATATTTGTTGTGACTTGATCAACATCTACATGATTTTATAATTTTAATCCAGGTTGGAAAATCCTTTTCAAAATTACAGCCTAAATAAAACACTGATAATATTTATTACCAAAAAATTGAATAAACCTTATCAGTCAACTTTTTGTCTTTAACCTTAATGCATGATTGTTTAACAAAACTTATAAAGGAACTAAGGTTTAAATATAATTGTGGACTATACAATTAATTATATAATTACAACATTGAATAAAAAATTAAGAGATTTTTATATTAGAAAAGTTAGTGAATCAATATTTGTATTAAACACCGAATGTTTTTATTGTAAATTCAAACTCTTTACAATTTATTACTTTAGTTTATTTTTACTAAAATTTATATTTCTTGTTGAACAATTTCAAATTCTTATTAAATTATTTATTTAGTACTATAAATTTAACTTAATAATTATAACTCAAGTTCTTGTTTCTGTCTAATTTATCACCTATGATAATTGTGATAAACTTGTCAAATATATATATCAAAGATATATATATATATATATATATATATAACTTAAGCGTGTATGAGACTTAAGTTGTATTATGTTTAATTATTTAGCACTTATTATTAGTTGTTTAAAAATCACTCGATTGTTTAACTGTTGCTCTATTTTGTTTAGAGATTGCTCACTTGATTATTTTCGATTGTTTAGGTAATTTTCAGTTGATAAATTCTCAATTGATTATTTTTAGTTGTTGTTTATATGTAAAAAGAGAATACCATGAGACTCAAAACGTCTAACTTTATAATTAAATATTAAATTTGAAGTATCATAAACAACTCTATTTTAAATGAGGAGAGATTTGTTTAGTTTAAGAAAGTCTATCTAGACTTACTCTGTTTAATAATTCATGTTCTATATCAAATCTCAACGATTTAACCGTTGAATTTAAAGTTCTTAATGTACCTATCAAATCTGCAATTTTTTTAAAAATTTGAAATTATTTTGATACTTCGTTTCATTAATTCAAATTGACGGATAACATATTTTTATGATTATCCGTCAATTTGAATTAATAAAACGAAATATTAAATAATTTTTAAATTTTTAAAAATTTGCAGATTTGATCTGTACATTAAAAACTTTAAATTCAACGATTGGATCGTTGAGATTTAATATAGAGCATAAATTATTAAATAAAGTAAGTTTAGATAAACTTACTTTTACGATAAATGGATCCCTTCTCATTTTAAATACTATAATAATAATATTTGATGAACTTCAAAATTGATTCTTATTTACCACTCGAACAACAAAAAATAATGCACTAACTAATACAATTTTCTTTTAACTTCTAAGTGCATGTTTAATTTGGCAATATAACATTAACTGCGGCTAAAATTACAAGGAATTGCATTTAAAAATGGCTAAAAACTGCTGCATAATGTTTAATTTGGTGTATTTTACAGCTGCTAGAAGCACTAGTACAAAAGAGGTGTACTACGTCGGATATTTTGAGCTTTTTACGTCAGAAAATATGCCGACGTAAAAGCGGGAGACGTAAATTTTACGTCGGATATGCAAAACTGACGTAAATTTACGTCGGACATTACGACATCCGACGTAAAAAAGTAGGAAAAAAAATAATAAATAAATAATAAAAAAAACATAAAAATCCTAGCAGAACGGCCCGTTCTGCTTGCAGAACAAGCCATTCAGCTTCGAAGTAGAAAAGTGCTAACGAAACCTTGATTCATAC